AATACCGATTTCATCTATATATATATATATATATATATATATATATATATATATAAAGCATTTAAACAAAGAAACTGTGGTGGTGGTCTAAGGCATAAGAGGTAGTGGCAACATGCTTATTTGAATCCACCAACCATCTAGCATTGAATATTAGAACCTAAGAACTCAAATTCTTAGAATTATCATAGTTGGAGAAAACCAAATTATCAAAGATTTGAGGATTAAAGCCACAACCAATTGATTTGCTTAGCTAGAATGTCTTTTAACTGAATTTCATTGTCAATTTACAAAGGCCATGTAGTCGTACGCGACATGTTTGACTGAGCATTACATTTCCATAGAATGTTTTGTTCTAGACATTCAATTTTCTAAGAATGGAGCAGTCAGCCATGGCTGAGAAAATAAGCAAATTCAGTAACGAGTTTAGAAGTACCATTTGAACAACAAAGCTGATCCGTTCACTAGCTCAACAATTAGTGTTTTATATAAATGAAGAAATGGATATTTTAAACTTTGTAGTAAAGATTGGAACCCATGAATGAAGAAATGGATATTTTAAACTTTGTAGTAAAGATTGGAACCCATGAGGTATTAGGATCCCATGTGCAAACTAATTTTAAAGAATTTTAATGATGACTTAAATTCACTTGCGAGATGATTTTCAAAAATTTTGTAGAACTTCAACAGACGCTTTGCCACTACCTAAATAGGCATGAACAACTAATAAAAAATCATTTGGAAATAATAAGTGTCATATTTGCATTTCTAAGGGTTAGTCTAGTATGTTGGGAGTAGGGCTTATTGTTCCTTTTCATTTGATGTTCAAGAGAGAGGAGAAACTTTTGTAGCATACCAACAATGGAGCCAAATCAATCTGTGATTGAGGCATTAATAGGCACAATAAATGATGAATATCTAATACCATTTGTATTCTATGAATTCAAAATTAGAAGGAAACTTAATTGTTTGCCACACCTCTATTCAATCCCAACCTAGTTTCTCATAGGCTCGCACCTTGTTAAATCTTGCCAATATATGATTATGCCTATCTTGATGTGATAAAGAAAATGCTATGTCAGGAGATGCAAGAGTATTACTAAAAGCACTTTAGAGTATTAAAGCAGAGTGTGCACTGATATTAAGCTCAATAAAAGTGGTAGAGGCCCACCAAATAGAAGTTTCACTGTGATTTAATGTTAAGAATTGCATAAAATATTTGGTTTAATATTGCTTAGCTTTTTGGGATTTTTTATCGCAAGAATAAGAGTAATAAATGCAGAACACTAATGAATATGATTGATATCTTCATATTAAAATATTGGATCACATCACACACGTGCCCCACGATATTAGCGATATCTAAGCGCCTTGGAGTTTTTTTTTTCAAAAATAATCAATGATATATGTTTTAGGGATGATTAAGAAAGTTTGCATGTTGAAGCTTACAGAGATGAATCAGAGTGAATTATAAATCTTAAAAAAAATAGAAAATGCAACTTTTGTTGATAGTGATTCATTAATAAATGTGGATGGTGAACTTATTATTTTTGGAATAATCGGAAAGAGATATATCATCATCCTTAATCTGTCTGAGAGAATTACATCATTCATCTATAGTTGATCTTCTAGTGAAGCTTGAAGTTTTATTACCTTCCCTACGAAAGACGAGCATTTTCTCTTCTGGGCAAATATATATCAAATCAGACTTGAAGATTAGACAGAGAGAAGTGGACAACTAGGATTTCAGTGGGACTATAAGAGACGAAGTACTCAATTCTATTTGAATTTCATTCTATTGCTTGCCGAATTGTTGAAAGTTGGCATGTTTATTGAAAGAATCAAAATTATGATTAAAGGTCAACACATATAACTTTTACCTTGAATGAATGGGTAATGAAAATGTAGATGCAAATTATCAATTTTAAAAGGTTTAGAGAATGAGAAAGTAGAACATTGAGTCAAAAGCAGTAGCAGAGAATGGATGAAACACAAGGAAATGTTGGACATTGGACAAAGGTGATTCATTTAACCAACACTGGCTTACAAAAACTTAATTAATTCCTAAATTTAAGATTTCACTAGATGGTTATTACACCGAGTATCTTTTAATCCTTGAAATCCTAAATAAGTCCCTCTACTTGATAAATACTTAAAAATGAATGGTCATAGTGAAATCCCCGCCTGCCCATTTGTCTTTTTTATTCTAGAAGTATTTGAAATTCCCTATAACTACATTAGGCTATTTAGAATAGATCAACTCAAGAAAGTAAGCACACAAAACCATCCAACTTTCATATCATTAGTATCATAAAGAACACCCAATGAGCATGTTTCATCAAAAGACATTTTAAAAGTATGAAGACTAAAAGTTGGGATTGTACTTTTTATAAAGACTTGAAATATGTTAGTACAAGAACAAATATTTGTATTCTAATATTTTAAATAGGAAAATTTCAAAAATTCTAGTATTAATCTAGCCTTCATTATATTTCATTTAAATTTAAATTTAAATTTTTTAACCAACTACAAATTCCTTGATTTATTTACTTTTTTCATTTTCTTCTTAGAAATTAACTTCAAATACTTATTTAGGCAATTCTACACATTTTTCTAAGAGCACTATTAGATGATAAGATTGTGTCTATTACTGATGGTGGATTCTAGAGTTATCTTATGCAGTGGTGCGAAAAATTTATTTGTGATGATTGTTAGATTATTTTACACGGAATGTATCAATTATGTTTAGATCTACTCGGCGAGAATTAGTTGAACAATTCTTTGGAGTCAATTTTTATTTTTTTAAGCCGAACAAATTCATGTGGGATTGCAGCTTATTCTAGAAGCTTCGGGGCCGTTTGGGATCACCTTTGATTTTGATTTTTGATATTTAATTTTTATTTTATTTTTTCATATTTTTACTTGAAATAAATTATGTTTGGTATTTTATAATATGTTGTGGTGTCTTTAAAAACACTCGGTATTTTTAAAAATAAGTTAGTTTATTTTTTAAAACAAAAAAATTGAAAACATTTAAAAAATTCACTAAAAAAATAAAATTAAACATAAAAAAAAAAAAATAAACAGAAGTTATCCCAAACAAGCCCTTAGGTTATCTAATTTCTTGGATTGGTTCATTTCTTGCTTGTGCCTGCGGTTTCAATATTTTTGTCACAACTCTATTTATGTGGGTTTTGGTCAATGGTGATTTTGTATGGATGATCTCATGCTTATCTTGTGATGTTTGAGGCTCATGATTTCTTTGTGTTCACTTATTTCTTTCACTTGTATTTCGACTGAGAATTTTGATGGGTTGGGTTTGATCAATTTTATTCAATTAATTTGATGATTATAATTCTCAGATTTCTAAGATATGTATTTTACAATTACAATTTAATGATAATTTCCTTTCCTTGTGCTTATGCAATGCTTGGTTGTAGATCTTTTGAGTGTGGTAAGTGGGGATTATCTGATTTCTGAGGAAGCCAATTCCAAAATTATTTCTAATTTTTTTATGAATTCCTTATGGATTTTTTTTTTTAATTATTGTTGTAGTTTGTTTGACTGAATTTGATTTAAGTTCTTACACTATGGATAGCTAATTGTTGTGTAATTTTTCTTTGGTCATATGAAAAAGATTTTTATATGATTTATCATTGAGTTGAGACTTAATTTTTCTTTGGTCATATGCTTTATCATTGGTTCAAAATTTTTAGTTATTTTTTTATATTGGCTATCGTTAAATCATCATTTAGCTGAATTTTGTGTGTTTTTGGCTTTCATCAAAAGCGATTAATACTTATTTAAATTGATGGTGCATGAACTACCAATTTTGATTTTTTATGTGTAATGTTTATGCAATGCATCATACAATAACGTTAAAAAATTATAGATCTTTAGATGTCAAGCATGCCACTCATTATGAGGGACATGGACAAAAAGTGCTTCCATTGCGAAAACTTATCAGATAGAGCTTTTCCTGATAAAAGTAGGAAGATTGGCCATTAAATTTTATCATTTTATTTTATAAATTGCTTTACATTGAAGCCATTTTTCTTGTTTGTTTTGTATCTTACTGGCTGTCATGGAATAAGAGTAGGAATATTTCTCTGTTAAAATTATAGTCACACACCTACATGCGTCCACTTGAGAAGCCGGGCTTGGATTGTTCCAAACAGTAAGGAGTTTTGACATCCAAAATTATCTTTAGACGTGTTAGTTGGTCCAGGTTGACTTTGCTAAGATTGGAGATGAAATGCACCTAATCAAATCATTACCATCTTCATAAGTCGACTCAGTTTTGTTCTCATAAATCACCTGTCATTTTAAGTACACATTTGGGGTAATATATTTAAGGGCCATTTACATATATATACCACCTAATTCTTATACATATCTAACACCTAAATTTTACTTTTTACATTTATACCACCCAAATCTTTCATATCACAAAAAAATACCGCTATTTTAACTTTTAAAAAGTATTATATGCCTTTTTTTTCATAGATAATGCGGCATATATGTTAAAATTAAGTTTAGGTGTTAGATATGTAAATACATAAGAATTGAGTGGTATTATGTTAATCTTCCTATATTTATTTTCCCTTCTCTATGGTAGACTCTTATTGCCTGATCCACATAAACACCCCAGAATAACTAACCCAATGTTTCCTTGTAAAGCTAAGGTGATGGTTTTACAAAATTATGCCACAAGCTCTGTTATAAGGTTTCAATTCCAGTACAAAACTACAGGAATGTGATTTTCTTCATGAATGATAACATATAGCGATCACTGCAATACTTTGGTTAATCTCATACTCTCATTATCTTCACTGCATCAATAATACTTCATGAAGAGTAAAAGTCATCTCATCTTTTAGATATCTTATTTCTTTTCTTACTTCAGACCACTATAAACAACCAATGTTCTTCTTCAGGTTCACATTTCTCTGTCCGGAGAGAAACACATGAGGATTTCTTGGGTCACCGAAGATAAATCTCTTCCCTCATTTGTTGAGTATGGAACATCATCCGGCCAGTACACAGAATCATCTGAAGGAGAAAACATGTCCTACAGATATCTCTTTTATAACTCCGGGAAGATCCACCATGTCGTTATTGGACCTCTTGAGGATGATACAGTGTACTACTATCGTTGTGGTGGGCAGGAACCAGAGTTCCAGTTCAAGACTCCTCCTTCTAAATTCCCATTAACTTTTGCTGTAGTTGGTGATCTTGGTCAGACTGATTGGACTTCATCAACACTAAGGCACATTGATCAGTGCCAATATGATTTGCATTTACTACCAGGAGACCTTTCTTATGCTGATTATCAGCAGCACTTGTGGGATTCATTTGGGGATCTGATACAGCCGTATGCCAGTGCGAGGCCATGGATGGTAACCGAAGGGAACCACGAGAAAGAGAGTATACCATTTATTAAATATCCATTCCAGTCATATAATGCGAGGTGGAAGATGCCTTATGAGGAGAGTGGCTCCACTTCAAATCTCTATTATTCTTTTGAAGTTGCAGGTGTTCATGTGGTTATGCTTGGTTCTTACACAGATTATAATGAAGATTCTCACCAGTATGTTTGGCTCAAGGTTATTTTCTTACTCATTTTGTTTTTGGAAATTTGCATATTTAGCACAGAATTCATAGTATTTACATTTCTCATAGCCTAAACTTTTTTTGACAGACATAGCACTTTAATGCTTTAAACATATGAATGAAAATGTGTATTCATTTTTAAAAATTGATAATTGTGCTATTTTTTATGAGATATTAAATATTTGAGGTTGTGAGTGTAAATATAAAGGTTTATGTGTGAGGTATTGTACATAAGAAACTCACTTATATATTTTTTCGGCTTTTACTGGTGGAATTGATTATATGGGATGATTACATTTACCTAATTTCTGCAATTATAGGGAACATAGTGGACAGTTATTGTGATAAATATGAAGGGAAGATGCAAGTATATCATGTGAAATCATGCACCTCGTTATAACTTCCTTTCCATTTATTGTAGGGGTCACTTTCATCAGCATCATCATTAGCCGCTCCCAAATTTTTTAGACTAGCTTTATGAATCCTCATGCATCTCTTAGCATTGCATGTCGTGCTAAATTGATTTTTCTCAATTTTTTATTCAATTTCTAATATCTTACTCTTTGTCTATGTATTTTACTCTTAATAATTTTATCACTAATTTGTCTTCCACCTGTGAGCCCAAACCATTATATTCTATTTTTTCATACTTTATCTTCTAACAAGTGATGCTCTTATAATCCTTCTAACATCATTATTTTCCGATCTATCTCTTTAGTTTTAACACAGCCATTTTCATGCTTTCTAACTATCCATCTGAGATCCAGTAGACATTGAACTTTCTTTCCATTTTGGTGGGATTTCTTCTACAGAATAACTTATTGCTTGATATCATACTCTTATAATATTTTGCGGGCTCACTGCTACCCCTTATTTGCTTTTACATCATTCAATGCAGCAACATTAAAAGTGTATGCAAATTTTTATCATAAACAGGCTGACCTTGCTAAAGTGGATAGAGAAAGAACACCATGGCTGCTAGTTCTTCTGCATGCGCCATGGTACAACAGCAATTGGGCTCATCAAGGGGAAGGAGATGATATGATGGCTGTAGTTGAACCGCTGCTCTATGCTGCTGGTGTGGATATTTTGATTGCTGGTCATGTGCATGCTTATGAAAGATCGGTACGTATGTTTAATTTTTTTCAAAATTAGTTTCTGAACCTTGATTTGTTCTTTACGTATCTACAACTTATTTACAACAGGAACGTGTCTATGGTGGTCAATTAGACTCCTGTGGTGCCATACACATAACCGTCGGCGATGGAGGTAATAGAGAAGGACTGGCTCAAAGGTAAGCATTGTATTCACGACTGTTTCCGACAGAAAAACTTGTTAGATTGTTTGTTTCATCATACAAATGTTTTTCTGTATTTCATGTAAATTAAATTGACACATTTTCTACAGGGGCTAGCTAAATCATGCTTATACTTTTAAGCACAGCCTATTAGAATAGAAGGTTTTGGCACCTGTTGGTACTATAAGTTCATATGATTGATACATGTGTTGCTTGTGTGTGCGCTTGCGTACCAATCTTTGTTGCGAAGGTTTAGTTAGATTTTCGCTTATAAGGTTATATGAGCGGGGATGAATTGCGTAGATTGGTGATGCCTCGTGAAGCTCGGAGAACCTGAACCACGAAGAACTACAATTGGATGAATCAGTAAGTCGAATCAAAAGATGGAAGACGAGAAGACCCACAGGCCGAACCCTTAGCCCTAGACTTGGCTATATATGGACAGAGCTCGGCTGGCCACTTTTTTTATATTCTCAGCAGTTTCTAACAAAACTTGTTAAAGTTGTATATTTTATCATACAAATGCTTTGGTTTTATTTCACTAAAATTTTATTATTGACAGATATCAGTACCCGAAGCCGACATGGTCAGTTTTTAGGGAAGCCAGTTTTGGACATGGAGAATTGATGATTGTTAATTCAACTCATGCGTTATGGAGTTGGCACAGGAACGAGGATCATGAATCACTTAGTTCTGATAAGGTTTGGATTAACTCCTTGGCCGGTTCTGGTTGCTTGAGAAGTGGAAGGCTTGATTTGAGCAAGATTCAATTAGTTCCTTGAAGCTGGAATCTATATTTAGTGATTCACAGGAGAGGTATAGATTGCTCATGTAAAGATCACTTTTTATGCAATGTTTGATAACTTGTATACTATGTATACGTTTTGTTATACAAATAATAGCACATTTAATGCTATTTAGTACACATCAGTTATACAACTGATAGCACATTTAATGCTGCAGTTCTCATATTTTTGTGCCAGTAATTGTTCAAAACTTCAAATTTAAGGCTTCCTCAGCCTTCTCACTAAGATTTCTTTTGGGGGGCATTTGCATACATACATTCCAATTCCTATGTATATGCATAATCAACATCTAAATTTTACTTTTTATATTTCTACCACCCAAATCTTTTGTCACATCAAAAAAATAATTATTATAAATTTTAAAAAGTTAAATATACCATTTAAGTTCATAGGTAAAGTGGGATATATGTAAAAATTAAAGTTTTGGTGTTGGATATTGTTGAGAATTCAAAATCATTTAGGGTCCTATTGGTAAAAAAGAGTCTTTAAGAAATATAGTTTTTATTTGTAAAACATTTTAATATCTTATTTAAGCCCAAGTTATGAATGAAATGATCAAGTTTTGAACAATTCTTTTCTTTTAGTACCTGAGCTTAGCACTACCCGCCACTTTTCTCTCTCTCACCCGTCAACTCTAACATTAATTGCCACCTCTCTCTCTAGTCCGCCGTCATCCCTCGCACTCCAGACTGCTGTTGCCGTCCCCCTCTCTCTCAACTGTGGCTCTCCTTCTCTTTTCCTAGTTGGCTACTGCCTAAGGAAGTTTTTGTCCGCCAGTTGAAGGTGCTCGTGTTGGGCGAGTGAGTTGATATGAAAAGGATATTGATCTTGATGATGAGTTAGATCAAAACCAGGTCAAAGAGGAAGAAAGTTGCTTGTGATATGTAGGATCTTTGACAAGTTTACTGGTGATTGAGGATATAAGAAGACGAAAATAGTGTGGGAGGTAAAAGAGTGGAACTTCTTGGAAAGATGGATCCTGAAATTCTAAAGGTCTTGGTTTGGCTCATACAGAGAGCTAGTGTCTTGAAAGGACCACTACTTCAACACATGCTTCAATGCAGATAAAACTAGATCTTCCTCTTTTGGATCTAATTCTTGATGGACCAGTCATGTATCTAACTTAGTCACGTCAGATTGAGGCGGGTTTACTAGGGAAGCGACTAAAGGGGTATTTGATCGAGGACGAGCTAAAGAGTGACAGTGCTAAGGGGGATAAGTGGAGGACCACACAAGCCTTAATCTACACTGGGCTACTCAACTCGATGGTTTGGTCAATTGCATTCTCAGTAGATGACATTCAAATAGTGAGGGACATCTGGGCAAAGTTGAAGTGGATTTATGATGAGACAGAGAACTACATAAGGGTGTTTTAGATTCATCGTTAGATAAAAGAAGTGGTACATGGTGATAGATTGATTTAAGAATACACCTTAGATATGAAGCGATTGTGGGCAGATCTTGATATTTTTTCACTGATGTTGAGCTGTGGCGATCCATAGTGAAAGAAAAGGGAGATCTTTACATATATGAGGACTATGTAGTTTCTGACCTATCTGAACCTGACCTTTGATTAGAGAAGATCACTATTCCTAACTCAGACGACTATTTCTTCACTAGTTGAGGCCATTGCTGTGATGATGCAGGAGGAGATTAGTTTGAAGCTGCATATTGAGTCAAGTGGACTTATAGGAGTGTGATCAGCTTTGGTTTCCACGAGCTCAGGTATGATAGGTGTCTTGGGGTGAGACTCGCAAGTGCTACAATTGTGGTAAAGTTGGGCATCTAGCAAGACCTGTCCAAAGCCACATAAGGAGAGAGAAACATGTAGATGTGGATAGGGTAGGTGCAATGGTTGTGGTGGTTGAAAATGTGGAGAAGGGGGCTACCAGGAAAATCTGATGGTAGCAAAGGAGAAGGGAGAAATATATGTGTGGTTTTATCAATGATGATTATGAGTGACTGGAGTTGTTGAAGAGGAAATAATAAGCAACATGAGATGGAACTGAGGATGCTTCCAACCAGTCATCACTAAGTAGTAACATTGCAACTTTTGCTCTCTCTGACAAAAGGTGCTTTTGATACACATGCTCCCGCCTGTATTTTCACTACAAGATCATCAGGATGAATAGTAGATTCTGGTGCATCTTAATATGTGACAGGTACTGCTAAAGAGTTTTCTTTCTATACTTTACTAGCAATAACAGAGTGCATGCAGACTATTGATGCTACAACACAGTTTGTAGTCGGTAAGGGTACAATGAGGGCTACCAATTATATGACTTTGTCTAATTTTTTCCTATTACTTTTTTTTCCAGTGAAACTTCTATCCATTAATGACATTATTCTCCAACTAAAATGTGATGTTTCTTTTGATATTCCTAAAGTGATCTTTCAAGAAAAAGAGATAGAACAAACATTTGAGACTGGAACGTGACATAATGGACTCTAGTACTTGGACCGAGAGGTGATGGACTCAACTTTGACAATAGAGAGTAGAATAAGAGAGAATCTAGGAGTGTGGAGAATGTGTTGCTACTACATTACAAACACATGTGACACACTTGTTTAGTTTATTGAGTCGGTTGTATCATTCTTCGTATGAAAAGACAAATAAGCAAAAGCTTGTTTGTGATAATTGTGAGTTTGACAAGCTTACTATAAGCTCTTATATTAGTTTTGAGAATAGGAGTTCTATTATTTTTGACTTGAAACATTCAGATGTTTGGAGATCTTTTTATACAAGTTCCGTGAATTGATATCGATATTTTGTGACCTTTATTGATTTCTTTTCTCATGTTTCTTTATTATATTTGATGAAAAATAAGGGTGATATGTTTGCTTGCTTTAAATGCTTCCACATGGCAATTCAGATTCAATATGGTGCAGTAGTGAAGGTATTAAGGTCTGGTAATGGGATGGATTGTACCAACAAAGTATTTGGGGAATACTTATCAGCTCAAGGGATACAACATCAAACTCATACATAGACATTGACACAAAATGTAGTAGCAGAGAGGAAGAATAGATGAATTCTAGAGATAACCCGAAGCATGATGATTGCAATGAATGTCCCAAAGCACTTATAAGCGCAAATAGCTTTGGCAACTCTTCAATTGATCAACAGGATACCCTTGAGGGTGTTAGATTAGAAGTCTCATTGTCAGATGTTGAAAAGAGATAATAGCAGGATCTTCCCATTGAAGATATTTGGTTGTGTATGTTTTGTGAAGGATAACATGCCATCAGTAGGGAAGCTGGATCCTAAAGCTATGAAATGTGTATTCATAGGTTATCCTGCTACCCATAAGTGGTATGTTTATTATCGCATGATAGAGAAGGGACTGTTTGTGAGCATAGATGTGTCGTTTAGAAAATCTGAATCGTACAACACCCTTCGATGATTCACTAGACATTGAGATATGAGGTAGGAGTGAGTAGCAATGGTGAGAGAGTGGTACAAGTAGGAGAAATGTCTTGTCTTGTGATGTGGGATGAATCTGTTGAGATCCAAAAATGAGGAATGTGAACCCAGAGGCGTTGTGATTCAGGCTGTATGCTCGGAGAAGGAAGCAAAATGAGAGAAGTTCCTTGTCCTGTTCTTCCCCGACTCTTAAGACACCTATACCATCAACCTCTGCCTCAGAACTCCCAGATGATATGATTCTTTCTCATTCTCCAAAACTCACAACTTTAAGGAGGATCTCTATCAGCAATGGGAGACGTCCTTCTGATCGTTTTGATGGAAATATGAAATAACTAAATTTGTTTCATATTTTATCACCTTTTTATGGAGCATTCACTACATCTTTGGACAATGTCTCTATACCCAAGTGTTGGCAGTTTGCTAAGGAGGATCATAAGTGGAAAAAATCTTTGCATAAAGAGTTTAGGGCTCTCGATAAAAAACCAAACATTGGAGATAATGCCACTACCAGTGGAAAAAAAAATATAAGTGGGGGGCAGTGAAGTAAACTTAAAAAGGAAGGGTGGAGCGATACAAAGCATGATTAGTGGTGAAAGGGTACAGTCAGACATAAGACATTGACTATGACGAAACATTTCCACTAGTAGCAAAGGTGAGCACAGTGAGGACATTAGTTTCTCTAACAGCGACACCAACTTGATGTGAAGAATGCATTTCTTTATGGTGAGTTACTGGAAGAAGTATAAATGGAGATACCCTTAGAATTCAATACAATCCAAACAGTGGGTAAGGTGTGTAGGCTCAGGAAGTCATTTAATGACTTGAAGCAGTCTCCTTAAGTTTGATTTGATAAGTTTAGAAAAACTATTGTGAGCATAGGATATCATCAAAACAATATAGATAATATAATGTTCTTTCAACAACATGAAGGTTGCACCACTATACTTGCTATGTATGTTAGTGACATCATTCTCACCGATGATGGTGAGGGAAATTGCCCAACTAATGGTATGATTGGGCAATGAATTTGAGGTGAAAAATCTTGGATAGTTCAGATACTTTCTTGGGATTGAAGTGGCTCGTGGACTTGAGAGGATGGTTCTGTCCCAGGGAAAATATGTACTAGTTCTCCTCACGGAAGCACACATGCTAGGGTGCAAACCTACAGTCTCACCAATTGACCAAAAGACCATGTTGAGTGCAGAGATAGGAGCACCAGTTGATTGTGAGAGGTATCAGAGATTGATGGACCGTCTAATCTATCTGTGTCACACTTGACCCAACATCTCTTTTGTAGTGAGCGTGGTGTGCTACTAAATACTTGATTTAAGGAAGCAAAATATGAATGCAGTGTATCAGATTTTGAGATACTTGAAGAGTGCACCAAAAAAGGGGCTGATCTTCAGGAAGATTTGTCATGTAGACATTGAAGGATTTTATGATGCTGACTAGGCGAGCTATGAAGATGACAGTAAATCCACCTCAGAAAACTGCATTTTCATAGGGGCAGCTTGGTCTCTTAGAAGAGCAAGAAACTGTCTGTAGTAGCAAAGAGTATAGAGCAATAGACTTAAGAGTCACTGAGATGATGTGGCCGAGAGCCTTGTTGGTCGAGCTCAAGGTGGATCAAGGAACTCAAATGAAGTTGTAGTGTGACATCAAGTCAGCAATCAACATTTCCAGCAACCTGGTGCAATTCGATAGAATCAAACATGTGGAGATTGATAGATTCTTCATCAAGGAAAAAATTGAATAACACGCACGCTACTGGAGCTAAGTCATGCTAAGTCATGTAGTCAGTGGAGAGGAGGTGGCTGACTACCTCACTAAAGAACTTAGTTCATTAGATTTGTTTAGGTTATGTGACAAGATAGAATCGGTGGATATCTTTTGCCTATCTTCAGGGAAAGTGTTGAGAATTGAATCTTATTTAGGGTCCTATTAATAAAAAATGGAATATTTAAGAAGTCTAGGTGTTTATTTGTAAAATGTTGTAATATCCTATTTAAGCCCATGTTATGTTATGAATGAAAATATCAAGTATGAACAATTCTTTCTTTTGATATGTAAGGACATAAAAATTGAGTTGGTATGTATGTAAATCTTCCTGTTTTTATTATTGTTGGTCCAGTGAGCATCGCTGCTTGAATATTGGTTTCAATTAAAGTGCAATAACAAGCATTTAATTTCTATGTTATTCTACCAGGATAATGTAAATTAATGCTTAAAGAAGGTCCCTGTTATATATGTGACAATTTAATATATTATTATTGTAATTAGTTTTAATAGCAGATGTTATATAATTAGGGGTGTAAACGAGCTGAGCACGAGCGAGCCCAGGCTCAGCTCGTGTTCGGCTCATTTGCTTAACGCGAGCCGAACACGAGCCGTTCACGAACAAAGAGTCGTTTTGACAACCCTAATTGCGTAGTCATAAAGTATTAAAGATTATGGCAAAATTTAAAAACTTTTGTTTATATTTAAACATCATTTGAATCTAATTTAATAATTTTTATTTCTTTTCTTAATTAATACTTTTAATTGATTATAAATCTTTGTAGCTTTGTAGTCAATTAATTTTTTTAAAAATATTACTCATCAAAGATATTAT